GTCCTAAGTCAGCTGGGATAGGCTCCAGCGCCCCCGTGACCCTAGTGAGGATTCAGCGGTGTATAGATAATGGATGGCTGGATGACATTAGGGGCAGTTTTCCATGTATTCTATTTTTAACATGTACCCCTTTGAGGCTCAGTAAAACACATGCATCTTAGAAAACAAAATGGGATTTTCGTAGCAGGAAAATGTTATTTAAATTGATTTGAGTCAAACAAAGAAGATGTGCTCTTTAATTTGTCGGTTAAGTAAGTTTGATATCACTGATGCTACGTCACATAGCTTGTTAGCAGATAGAAAATATACACATGACCTGTTGATGTGTGTGAATGAGTCTGTTTGGTCTGAGGGGAAGGTCAAAGACAAGTACACAACTCATTATGTGGTAACGAGTCCTCACAACACAGAAATGAGACTCTTAGATAATTTGGGTTTGGAAGGGGGCACAATAGACTTTACTGGTACTGAGGGGAAAAGACATGGTTACTGTGTGTTACTGAAACAGCAAAAGACTATCTTAATGACACTGGCTGCCTTGTGCAATAGGGACTGTTCCCCCTGAAAAATAAAAATTAAAAAAAAAATTGTCCACTTACATTTGTGAGAGATGAGTTGCTCAAATGATTCAGACCATCGCACAACCTCATCCGTTGATAGTCTGATGGAAAGAAAGAAAAAAGGCTTGAGTAAGATGCCACCCACTGTGCTTTCATACATATTTAACACAAGAAGGAAGTGCATGTATTATTGAAAGTCAGTTGAGTTTAATGTATGATGTCTCTTCTGATCACGGTGTTTGTTCTTTTCCAGGCTGTAAAGTATTTAAAAATATCTGGCTACATTTACAGAATGTTGACAGGAGGGAGGAGAGGAGCTAGAACAAGACCAGCTGACCTATGTTCACATTTTAATGTGATTCATGAATTACTGAAAGCATGATGGGAAACTGCTATTCATGGAGATTAAAAAGATACATTAAAAAGGTACGTTAAGATCATCAGGCTTTTTGTGAAAAAAAAAATCTTGTGAATATAAAAGCTAAATAAGTGTGTATCATAAACTTGTCAAAACCACTGGTTTCTCCAATGATGCTACTTGACATAGAAATTGTTCCACTGATTGAGGAATGAAAAAGCATTTTTAAATCTTAACTGACCAATTGTTATATAGATATATGCATCAGTATCAGCTTTGTTTGCAAAAAGGGTTGTGTGTATCACACTGATGATGCAGGAATTTAGGCAACTTAAGTTTACACTGCTTTTTGTTACATGCCAAGACTGCATCTAACATGGGTAAAAAACAAAACCTGATTGTCTCGAAAAGCAACAATGGAGTAAAAGGTTAACATGCAAATGCTTGACATGATGAACTAGAGAAAACTGAATTGATCACCTATATTGCTGGTTTGCTGACTGACACAAGCGCAATACATTGCATTCAGATTTCTACTAAAAAACAAACCCTGAAACAATATCTTAAAGAAGACAGCTCCTCCTACAAAAGTTTGAACTTTTTTTGTGTGTATATTTTGTAACGTGTGGCCAGTATGGTGTCTAGGAAGTTATTTCACACAACAGAAGGTTGAGTCCCAAAGTTTAGTCCCAAAGAAATTGAACAGGCAGGATGTTACAGGATTATTTTTTTTGTTTGTTTTTTGGCCGACTCACTTCAGACACCTGGCTGTGGTCTCTTGCGCGGGAGGCAGGAACTCAGAGAAGTCATTGTAGGAGTCAGACTTGTTGGACAGGCAGCCTAGTCTGGTCTTCATGGTACAAATCCTGCAGAAAAAGCACACATTTTGACAAAGGAAATGTACCTTCTGTGCACACAGACAGTACAAATAGCTGTTGTTTCCCACCCCCATTGGAAGCAAGATTAGGATCAGTGTGAAATCAAGAATTCGCTGCAAAAATACACAAGTACAACCCAAACTGCTTTACAAAGTTGGAATCATCAGCAACACACTGCTGTTCAGAACTGCTGCATGAATGTAAGGCGAATATAAATCGGGGAAAAATAGCAAATATGTTCAGTCAGTTTTCCTGGATAATACAAGCGATACATGCTTATTTGTCAGTGTTTTAGTGGCTGCATCTGCAGAAAGTTGAGAACAGTTTAAATTGCATTTTACTGTCAGCTCAGCACCATCAAGAACACTACCGTCACATTTTAGCTGTTGCTATGGCGGCTAATCGTATGTTTTGGCTGCTACTCCTTTATATGTTTAGAATATGTATAAGTTCTTTAATGTCGATGGGGGACCTGCTTAATAAACTGATCATAAAGAAAAAAAATGCAGAGAGATAAGGCCAACTGACTGGACAAGACAGGAATGAATCTGGACAACAGGTGCAACTCCATATGCAAACATTGATTCTGTATGACTGCTTCATTCCCAGTGGAGCTTCAAACATCCTTGATACTAGGTTTTTTCGTTTGTGTTTTGCAGATTTTAAGAAAAACTCCACAATGTGGAAACTGAGTTCCACAAGGATGAATGAAACAACATGCAGCATATGACTTTTATAATTTTACCAGGATTATCCAACATACATTCTGGTTATAAAACAACACCATGTTATTTCTGTAGCTGTGGTGCCTATTCTGCTCCTATCTAATTTATGTTACATCATGCTGATTATTGTACTAGAGCACTCCAACAGCTTAAAAAGATCAAGAGGAATAAATAGAGCATTAAAATATAGGTTAATTTATTTGTTGAAATAAACAGACGATTACATGTCTCTATATAATCTGTTGCAAAAATTGGCTATAATTGTGTAAAGACCATTTAAAAGAGCCATTGTGTTTTCACTATGATCAAAAAAAAAAAAAAAAAACACTTCTTGAAATAAACCATATCCCCATCTCTTATCACAGTCTGCCCCGTCTCATTTGTACACTGCTGCTGTCATGTACAATTTGTCACTGTTCTGCCTCTGGGACACATGGGTCACTCCAGATGGGGCCTGGTTATAAAGATGTTTCATCAAAGGCCAAACATTTCTTTAAAAGTAGGCCTATTTTGCAATTTAAAAAAAAGGAAACCACAAGTTCAGAATATTTCCTCCAAGATTTTCTCTTGAATTTAAAGGGTCAAGGTGAAGGCCTGGTCATATAAGTCATATACAGTATTTAAGCTTTTCCAGAAAAGCTTCTATTTACAGGATTTTTGTCATTAGCATAGTTTGACATTTTGTGAAATACATTCTGGTTTGGGGTGGAGGGTTCATTAGATTTCTTGTTTTTTATTTTTTGTTGTTTTTTTTTTATCTTAAGGCATCATCCAGTAGTCAGTTAACCTAGCTTAGCACAAAAATTGGAAACAGGAAGTAGCCTGGCTTCGTCCAAAGATCTGTACATCAACTCAATTACTGTTTACTGAACAACTGAATCTCGTTTACTTCATCTATACAGAAACCTCAGTTAACCGGCTGCTGGGTGCAACTTCATATTTATGCTATAGATGTTAGTGTGGTATCAAAATTCTCATCTAATGTAATCAGCTTTCTCTTTTAAAAAGAAGAGACCCAACAATGCCTGCTTACTTTGTCGCAGTGCTACCTTTACATGATGCCTCGTTGGCTTTCGTGACAACTCTGTTACATAAAAGTCTCCGGAGAGTTCTAATGGGTGATAACAAGCTTGAGAATGAATAAAGCAACTTCTGTGTGTCTCCTTGTATGCATTGCATTTGTTCATTCGCCTTAAACAGCAGCTGCTTCATAAATATTCCTGTTTAAAATTGCTTTATCTTGGATGATGGCAGTGCTGCAGAGCAGTGGACTGTTTTACTGTTTGAACCTTGAATTAGGATGCCAGCATAAAATGTACTGTTCATTAGCAAACAGAAAGCCATTTGATGGAAATAACAGACTTCATCAACCTCATGAATTTCAAGGTTCTTTAAAATTCCACTTTGTGTCCTCCATCTACCTCTGACAGAGTTTTTAGTTATTATTTGTGTGTGTGAGAGAGCGTGTGCATTTGTCTTTGGGTTTGGCTAATATATCAACTTTCTGGTCTTGCCTTTTAATATAAATTGTTTGGCAGCTTGCTTTGCCATCAACTGCAAGAGGTAAGTTAATGAAGTCAATATATTTCCACAGAGGAGAACATGAGTTTATAATACCATAAATGAATCCTGCACCTGCACTGTGTTTGAGTTTTGGTAAAGTTACAGTTTTATGCTCTTTCAAAAGCTTTTCTGTCTCAACATAAATAAATCTGAAAACACTGGAGGGCTTTGCGGCTTCTTTTAGATGCACTGTAGATATGACGCAGCCTGCCCCAGAAACACCCAGGTTATGTGTGGGATGCTATGTATAAAACAGATGCACTGGACTGGAAGAGTAGCTTGCGTGTCGTGTGAGTCATAATCTGAAGGTGCACTGCTTTTGTTAATGAGTAGTTATTTTCAGAGAAGCTTGCCAACACAATAGACAGCACTATTTTAAGCGGACCTGAATATATAAAGAGTTTGAGTTAACTGAAGTTCACTGGTGACGGTTGTTGAATTTTACATCAGTTGTCAAGAAGGTTTTACAAGAGTGTTGTTGGGATGACTTCCTGATACAGTGATGGCAGCACCACCGACATAAATTCTAACACTGATACTGGACTGTTAGGGGTTTAAAAATAAGGAAAACAGAAGGCCATCAAATCACCAATTTTAGTGACATTTCAGAAGTTTCATTATAGAGACTGTAGAGAATCTAGATTAAAAAAAATCTTTGTTGAATGTTAGAAGCTTGCTAAGTATCGCCACATTTGTCTGTTCAAGAGCTTGTAATGGTATCATACAATCTTTCTCAGTGGTTAACAGTGGATGGCATAGAATTCCATGACATCTCCTGAGGAAGATTTAATAGAAGCTACAGAAATTGATCTTTTGTGAAGTATGAGTCATCCATGGCCGACTAGCTTATAAAAGCAGATAAATCTTGGTCTGGATTGAAGTGATGGATGGACAAACCGAATGGCTACTCATGACTGTTTATATCTCACATGACACTGGAAGTCCTCTGTCTGATATGTTTAATATATTTTTCATTTTATATCTTGCCTTATCTTATATTTGTATGCCTATTTTAATATATCTTATCTTTATGCCTTATGTAGAACTTAAAGACTTGCTTTGGTGCTAAAATGTGTACACAAATAAAGAATAACCTGAGCTTGCAGTGTCTTGTCCTTGTCCTTGTCATATGATTAGGCTGCTCTTTAAGCTGCTCTTCCTACAAAACAGTGCTGTCATTAAGGCATCTCCTTCCATGAGTGACAAAACAAGATCCTGCAGACTGTTGCATTTGAATGTAAGGCAAACACATCTGGTCATGAATTCTTATTCGCCATGATTATCTGGAAATTCAAATATAAAATGTTGCTATATTGTGCATCAGGTTTAATCCATTAGTACCGGAAATGGAAACCAGCCTTTTTAATGGCCAGATTTGTATGTGTGTGATTATGTGCCATTTTCAGCAGGTGAAAGTCATCACATGAAGTCAATGAGGAGAGATGTGGACATGTTAATAGGTCTCTTTGGTGTGTGCCAAACTGTCAATACCATGATGACAGATCGCTCCCTGCTGCTATTATGTCTTCTCTGCCCGTCTCTCCTCCTCTGTTTTGACAACTCTCTATCTCCGTGGCCGTTGTGAGCTACATTCTTCGTCTGCAGTATGCTGCAGACACGTGCTGTTGCTGAGCTATTTATAAAAATCTCTGACAAATCCATGTAGTCAGGAGGAAGCAGTGCATGTTCTATTCAGCCATGCAGCAAGGCCGACTCCTGGAGGAAAGAGGCTAAAAACAGCAACAGCACTCTAACGTCTCAGATATGCAGAAGTATGCCTCGTGAATATAAAAGTACGGGCAACATCCACCAGATCGAGAATGTGAGATGCCTGGTGGGGTTGGTGGATTAAGAAGTTTAAATCTAGATCATGGAAATGGTGTCTATGTGTGTGTGTGTGTGTGTGTGTGTGTGTGTGTGAATATCTTCTTTGATGTTACCTAACTTGGTGCAATGCAGGTTTTTAGATATCTCTGCATCCATGTCCTCATTTCTGGATGCTGACAAGAGACACTCTGATGTCTATACAGTAGATGTGTGACATGCTGCAAAGGAATTCTAAAACAAATGCTATAATGAATAAGCTATGCAGAGCAAACTGAAAATAACATGCTCTGCAGAATATATTGCCTAAAATAGTGAGAGAAGACATTTGCTAGGTTTCAGTAAGTGGGCAGTGTCAATTAAAAGATGTATACTGTATTGATCTTTACACAGCATGACTCAGTGCGCATGGATGCTCAGGTGCATATATCTGCAGTGACGTCGGTCTTGACGCTAAAGACACAGGGCACGTGTGCATGTCAGGTCATCTCTCAAGTTAAAAAAAGACCATCTTACATACAGGTCACATCCCTGCTCTCATTCCTGTAGAGCGTAAGTAAAATAACAAGTTGTCAAGCTGAAGTTTTCAACAGTTTGGTTGTGCCCAAATATAACGATCACGTTTTTACCCTCTAACTCCAGGCCAATCTCCCAAAATATCTCATACTGTTTTTAATACAGCACTGTAGTGTGTTACAACTGTGCCAGTATCTGAGATAAAAACTTATATTTCAGGTGGAAAAAGGCACTTTCGTGACACTTTTGTGAATAATAAAAAAAAATCTGACAACACCTTAAATGTATTTAATTGCTTTCTTACATGCTTACTTGCTTCTTCTTTTACCTTTACTATGAATCCTCTCATC